CGGGATCAGGGACGTGGTGGTAGACTCTTGATACCGGGATCAGGGACGTGGTGGTAGACTCCTGATACCGGGATCAGGGATGTGGTGGTAGACTCCTGATACCGGGATCAGGAACGTGGTGGTAGACTCCTGATTGTGTAGAGTTCGGTCCTTCTGACGCAGCTATCACAACATCAAGGTGTATTTTAAAAACAGTAAAAGCTGAAATACAGCATTCAAAGTTCCCACTTTATGCGTGACACTGAAGTTAAGGTTGGCTCTAGCTTTAGATGTAAAGGCAGCAACTGAATTCACACTAAATAACCTAAAGCTTTGTTCATAGAGCCTCCACTGAGCTTTTAAAAAACACCATAAACTAACCACTATAGAGAGGAGGGATTATAATCATCTATAAACTCGTATCTCATATTCATAAACTATTTTACTACCTTCACACAAACCCTGTAAAGAAACAAGTGAAGTATCAAATGCATTATCATTAAACAAAAGGTTGAATATTCTGTAAACTATTTGATTTGGCTGCTAAATATTTACTCAAATGTAGATTTTTAAACACCTCCAGCTTCTAAAGCATCTAAAAATGAACGGTTTGTATAATCCCTCTGTAACCTTCGTCTCTCTCTGGCTCCTCCCCCCTAAGGTAAAGCCGTGAAGGAGGCGGAGGCTAACCTTCGTCGTCAGCGGCGTCTGTTCCGCTCCCAGGTGATGAAGTACATCGTCCCGGGGGCGCGGGTCGTCCGAGGCATCGACTGGAAGTGGCGCGACCAGGACGGCAACCCGTCCGGAGAGGGCACCGTCACCGGAGAGGCTCACAACGGTAAGACTCATCGACCAACCAGATCAACCGGTTTATTTAACGTTTAATAACTTTTTATTGTCTTTTTTTGTTGTTAACTGGAGTCCAGCTTCCGGTTTCAGAGGCTCGATGTGGGAAGATATATTTGTTCCAGCAAGTTTATTTGTTTTCATGTTTTGGTGCCACATTATTTGTCTTTGAGACGACTTTCAAAACAACATAAATCTAATAAATTTAAGTAGATTCAACTCAAGAGTTTGAGTTGTAACGAGCTGCTGGTTCAGATATCTTCCCGCATGTTTTAACTGTGTGATCCGTGTCCTCAGCAGGTTCCTGTAGGACAGAAGGACCATTCTGCAGTAACCCTCTTCTCCCTCTCACACACACACACACACACACACACACGTACGTCTAAATGCTCCAACAGGTGTCCTGGACAGTCGTCGTTAAATCGGGTCTAAATAAAAGTTCTGATTTGTGCTCGTACAATAACGAACACCTTCCTCCTTCTCCCCTCCCTCCTCTTCCTCCCTCCCTCCTCTCCTCCTCCTCCTCTTCCTCCTCGTTGGTGTTTCTGTGTTTTCACTCAGATCGGATGTTTCTGTCGGTGAGCTGAACCAGCAGCTCTTGTTGATTAATCTTTTTTAAATCAAACCAGGATTGTTGTTTCTTCGGTTCAATTTCTTTCTTTTGTGGCTTTGATGCTTTTTTGCAGTTTGCCAGAAATATTTTTCTACTTTTTGCTTTTGATTGTCATTTTTCTGTGACTTGTGTTCATATTTTTCTCTCTCATCGCTCCACCTGGACCTTAAAGCTCCTCCAGTGGAGTTCTAAAATGTTTAATTTAAGGTGCTTAAAGACAAACAAAACAAAATGTCTTCTGCTGAATAATGTTTCGTTTGTTCTTGTTCTGAAATGTTTTAAAAACCTAACATAAAAACGTGGACGTTTGTCCTGAAAACAAACCAAAAAATACAAAATACAAACTGTCCCTGTCACAAACAGAAGCGCATGGCTCATTAGTATGCGGCATGGCTCATTAGTATGCAGCATGGCTCATTAGTTTCTCCCTGCTGTGACGAAGGCATGTTGGTATATAATGTATATCCGGGTAAGCCAATCGGAGGCAGAGGAGGGCGGGTCATGCCTTCATCATAGTAGGGAGAAACTGATGAGCCATGCTGCATACTAATGAGCCATGCGCTTCTGTTTGTTACAGGGACAGCTTGCATCTTCAGAACAATGGTGTTTGTTTTCAAACTATTGGTGAAATAATGGGCCGTCAGAACAATGGAATTAAATGATCTATTTATAAATTAATAATTATGTGTTCGATATTGCTGCACCTTTAAAGTCACAGGTTTACACTTCATGTCTTTTGTGAGCTAAGTTACGTCTTTCTAAAATTATTTTCAATATGTACAAACATGCAGTGTAATTATATTTTAATTACAGCAATAAAATAAAAAATCCTCAGGTTGAATACTTCATCAAAAATATTCAAAGAATAAATAAATGTGAGATTCTCTTTACTAGGGTTGGGAATCAGTAATATTGTGGTTTTTGATTTTAAATCAATGATTACAAACATGAATATTTACTATTTATCGACTCTTTGGAGCCTGATAGTTTTCAGTACTTGGTGTTGAGGTTTAGTGCTCGGCTTTAGTATTGGTTGTTTTTTATACTTACAGTAATGAAAGCACGTCCTTTAATGTGCTTTACACAAAAATAAACATCTTTAAAAATCAAGGACATGATACAGAAGAATGCTTTAATATATTTGCCACATTATAAAGCCGGGTCCTGGTTTCACTGTGACTTGAGAGCCTCCTGTGGTCCAGTGTGGAGCTGCTCTGACTGTAAGCTACTTCTCTGCTGTCTGTCTACCTCCCTCTACCACTCTGTCTCTCTCTCTGTCTGTCTCTCTCTCTCTCTGCCGGGTCTCTGACATCCATCCGTCCGTCTCCCTCCTATCTCTCTGTCCATCCAGGCTGGATTGATGTAACCTGGGATGCCGGCGGCTCTAACTCTTACCGTATGGGCGCTGAAGGGAAGTTTGACCTCAAGCTTGCTCCAGGGTACGACCCTGAGTCGGCTGCCACAGCGCCGTCACCCAAACCTGTCTCATCCACTGTTTCAGGCCCCGCCTCCTCCACGGTGGGACCCTCCGCAACGCCGGCGTCCAGCGGCAGCACCACGACCACCACCTCCTCCTCGTCCTCCTCCACCACGTCGTCGTCCTCGCAGCAGCAGTCGTGGAGCAGCCTGGTGAAAAATAACTGTCCCGACAAGGGCGGGGCCACGTCACTGGGCGGGGCCAGCTCCTCCAGCAGGAAGGGCAGCAGCAGCTCCGTGTGCAGCGTGGCCTCCTCCTCTGACATCAGCCTGAGCTCGTCCGCGGGGCTGCCGGGCGCCGGAGGTCTGCGTCTGGAGAGGAGGGCCGAGGGGCTGCTGCTGGACCAAGGATCCGGTTTGGGAGGACTAACTGGGGTCGAACCCATCGTCGCGCTGTCCTCCGCGGTGGAGGGTGGGTCCGGCTCGGCGTCCAGCACCGGCACGCTCACCGCCGACACGCCCGCCCAGGGCGACGAAGCCAGAAACAAGGACTCCGCCGACCCAGCCACGGCGATCTCCATGGGGCTGGTGAGCGTGAGCTCGCCCGACGTCAGCTCCGTGTCGGAGTCGTCCGGCAAGGACGCGCCTTCCCAGAGGCCCCTCTGTTCGGCGGCTAATGCCCGGCTGTCCGTCAGCTCGCTGCTGGCCGCCGGCGCCCCCATGAGCTCCAGCGCCAGCGTGCCCAACCTGTCGTCTCGGGAGGCCAGCCTCATGGAGTCCTTCGTCCGCCGCGCACCCAACATGTCGCGCACCAACGCCACCAACAACATGAACCTGAGCCGCAGCAGCAGCGACAACAACACCAACACGCTGGGCAGGAACGTCATGAGTACTGCTAGTGAGTACTGTAATATTACTACACTAATACACTAACTGTCAGTGAGTACTGCAATATTGCCACACTAATACACTAACTGTCAGTGAGTACTGCAATATTGCCACACTAATACACTAACTGTCAGTGAGTACTGCAATATTGCCACACCAACTGTCAGTGAGTACTGCAATATTGCCACACTAATACACTAACTGTCAGTGAGTACTACAATATTACTACACTAATACTACACTAACTGTCAGTGAGTACTGTAATATTACTACACTAATACTACCCTGTATCTGTCAGTGAGTACTGTAATATTACTACACTAATACTACCCTGTAACTAGTCAGCTGAGCCTAACGAGCCTCACCTGCTGCTGTCCCCTAACCTCCATCTTGTCTGTTTGCAGCGTCTCCTCTCATGGGGGCTCAGAGCTTTCCTAACCTCACCAGCACCGGCACCACCTCCACCGTTACCATGTCAACCTCCATAGTAACCAGCAGCAATAACGTTGCCACGGCAACCACCGGTCTGTCAGTGGGACAGTTGCTAAGCAACACCCTGACGACCAGCCTGACGTCCACGTCCAGCGAGAGCGACACGGGACAGGAAGCTGAGTTCTCTCTCTATGGTACACACACACACGCACACACAGACGCACACACAGAGACACTACACACAGACACGCACACAGAGACACTACACACACACGCGCAATGCATACGCTTAACGCACACGCTTAACGCACACGCGCAACACAGACGCGTACACAGAGACACGCACACGGAGACACGCACACTCGTCCTGCTTCAGCTAACCTGCTCTCTAACTCTTCTTTCATTCGCAGCTAAAATATCTCACATTAATTATTAACACGTTTTTAGAGCTGAATGAGATAAAACGTGTTTGTTTTCATTACTGAGGATTTCCTCAATTCGTCTTTTGTCAAGAATGTAAAGAAATCATCTTTTTACTTTTACATATTTGGATCTCAGTGTCGGTGTTTTATTAATAGTAATATTCTGAGATTTGTCGCAAATTTATGAGATAAAACCTAAAATCTGTTTTTTTCCTGAATGGGACCAATTCACAGCTTCACAGTCTGGATGCTGAAGATAAAATGTTTCTGGGCTAAAATCACCAGTATTTACATATTATAGATCCCGTTACAGGTATAATACCTGTAATTTAAAATATATATATATTTACCTACAGTGTTCCTAATACACGTCATATTGAGCTCACTGAGTGTAAATGTGTTTTTATCACAAAGTATTTCAGGAATACTTGGTGAACACAAACAGCTGGTGTAAAATAAAGAAAGCGATGAGTTAGAAGACGACACAGAGAACTTCCACTACTTGAATGTTTTCATACAGAAATGGACCAGCAGCAATGTCCCCCGTCGGTCTGTTTGATCTCCATCATACGGAGAACTCATGAGCTCAGAGTGACGTAGAAGAGTCCGGAGGGTTCGTGGGCAGAGTTATTATAAATGTATGAAGATGGATTTGAAGACGTTCCTCTCGTGTCTTCTCTGCAGACTTCCTGGACAGCTGTCGTGCTAACACGCTATTGGCCGAGCTGGACGACGAGGAGGACCTCCCGGAGCCCGACGACGACGACGACGAGAACGAAGACGACAATCAGGAGGACCAGGAGTACGAGGAGGTCCTGGTAATACACCTTTATATTATTCAATAATATATCTGGACATCATCACTCAGCTGGGCTGAGTAACAGGAAGTGATGTCAGAGGGTGTAATGTGTGTGTGTGTGTGTGTGTGTGTGTGTGTGTGTGTGTG